GTGCGCGTATTTTTATTGGCCGGAAAATCACGCTCTGGTACCCAGTTTTCCCTCATTCGTTTCCTTCTTGTTTTGGTTGTTATCAGCATAAAATTAATAAAATTTATAAAGGTATTATTTTTCCATAAATATTTTGTATCTCTAATTTTAAGTTATTTTCATGTACTGTTTTTACTACGCTTTTAATTCAAGAGTTTAAAACTAAGATAATTGTTTTTATTATTATTATTATATAATTATGCGCTACATTTTAAAAGAAAGTTATTTAGAAAGGTGGTCTATTCTCATTTTCCGTCTTATAATTATTATTTTCGCGAAAATAACGTTAATATGCAGTTATAAATTACAGTTAAAGAGATCTGTTTAATGATTTAGTACTTAACGATCAGCTTCATGCGCAATAGATAAAATAGTTTTTAATATATCCACCCGTTTGTTAAGCGAAAATATTAAATAACAGTTGTGAACTCATTAAATTTGCTTGAACAATGTAATGTTATAACAATATAAGTGTTAGTACTTTAAAAAATGATTACTTAAAAATTACTTCTGATCACCAATAGATCTAAATATTTATTATACAAATAGATAATAATATTTGGACTTGGGAAGTGGAGGCACATAAGTAAGCAATCAGAATTCCTTTTAGTACATATACGTTACGAGAAGTATTTTAAATCTCGTAGAAAAACTGTTTTCTGCCAAGAAACAACAGTTATTGCTAAGCAATCATTAGGGTTGGCGAGCGGCAGCGAACAGGGAGTTTAGCCTAGTATATTTAAATTATTCAAATGTAATGATAGTCAAAATCATTTTTAAACCGTATGATGCCACCACATTAACACGTTCACACCGTGTTAATGTGGTGGCAAGTGAAGATACTGGTACGGGAAAAGAGAAAATACTGGTAGAAGAACTATTTCAATATTAGATAATATTCGGGAGGAGTTAATCTATTCTCAACAATAACAATTCACTGTAAGGAAATTTTTCACGGCGAAGAAGCAATTCAATATAAAAATTGCATCCGTTAAAAACAATTGGTAGTTATGGATTTCTATTATCCCCAGAAAAAAACTAAAAAATGAAATTTATTGTTACCAGTTTTCACTCCGGTGCGCTGTCAAGATGAGACAATCTAGCGTGACCCACCGGTGGGTCACTTCGGCTTGAACGTGTTAAAAAATGATTACTTAGAAAAATTACTTCTGTTCACCAATAGATCTAGATATTTATTATACAAATAGGTAATAGTATTTGGACTTGGGAAGTGGAGGTACATAAGTAAGCAATCAGAATCCCTTTTAGTACATATATGCATACCCTCCAACTGCTACGGAATTTCCGTAGTTTCAGAAATCTTCTATACAGACGGTAGCAAAATTAATGTCTTAATCATACCTGCCATCTCTTCCGGATTTTCCGGAAGATTTTATTTTCATATTTAAAGTGGTAGTAAATATATACTATTTTTTCTTTTATAAACTTAATTTTTAAATGATTTTGATCACCACTATTCTTACGAAAATTAAGCACATATATTAATATGCGGTACTATCATGGTTGTCAACTTAAGTTTTTTCAGATGCAACGTATTTGTTTGCTTAAAATTGAAGTTTTAATTCCATTTTAATACCACTGGAAAAAATGATAATGGAAGGGATTAAAAGTTGGCAGGTATGTCTTAATATTTAAAAAAGAATAATTTTAGTGTAACTTGTCCACTATTACTTATAAAAGTGCAGGCCATAGGGCTAGATTCTTAAGTTCTGATAAAAGTTTTATGAGAGATCCATTTGCTTTAAAAATTTCGACTTCGGTTCGCTACCACTAGAAAGAATTATTTTCAAAATCCTCATAAGTTGGAGGGTATGCATATATGTTACGAGAATTATTTTAAATCTAGTGGAAAAACTGTTTTCTGCCAAGAAACAACAATTATTGCTAAGCAATCATCGGGGTTGGCGAGCGGCAGCGAACAGGGAGCTTAGCTTCCTAGTATATTTAAATTATTCAAATGTAATGGTAGTCAAAATCATTTTTAAACCGTATTTATTTAATCAAGAATAAAATTTGATTCTATGCATTTTGCCACCACATTAATCTCCTGGCGGCTTAGAAAATGGGTAAAATTGGGAGAATGTTTTACTACGATATTTCCTTACATAATAAAATGGAAAAACCGTTTTTGTTATGCGGAGAAGACTGCAGATTGAAAGACGACTTTTTACGAGCAGAACCGTCAGTAGGTTTTAAATATAGAAATAAAATCCTTCGGGAAAACCGGAAGAGTTGGCAAATATGTACATGGGGCTAGATTGAGAGAACACTGCAGCTGTTTTTTTTTTTTTCGTACTAGATTACAGACTTATGTAAAGGAAGGTTATTTCAATTTTTAAGTATTATAGAATAAAATTAAATTTAAACAAAAAAAACGCTTCTGTGCCTAATATTTTTAAGGATCTCATTTTAACAAAATTCGCAACAATGACAGTTAAGCATGTACTTAGAATAATAATCCGTGTTCGGCTGAGTTTATAATGCAAAAACGAAGATATTGCTGTAAATTCTGTTACCAGGAGCGTATTTATTTTTTCTATTATTATGACGACCGTTAGCGGTTTGAACTGAACTGAACTTGTTTTATGAGCTGGGCACCTGGCAGCGGGCCCTATGCCATCCATCGTGTATTATTTATCGTGGTATAAGTTCTTTGATATCATCAGACAATGTGGTAGCTGTGAAGGGGTTAGTGGATTTGTTTCCACTTCGTTATAAATGAAATTTTCTTGTTGTTACAGAGTAATTGCATGTAAAGCTTCATTTTAATGAAGAATCACAGGCTCCACGTACAACTTAACCTACCTCAAGCATTCGCGGAACTTCCAAATACTAGGATTTTTCAAAATACCTTGTAAAGTTCTACCCAATTAACTACTAAACCTCTTTAATTTCTGGTAATTTTTCCAACATTTAAAAAGCCTCGCCACCAGACAGCAGGAACAAAATGGCGTTTTAAGTGATTTTTTGAATAATTTACATACAATGGTGACTGAAAATACTTTAAATCAAATTTAAAATATACAGATGATTCTACATTCAATACAAAAGTAGTTACCTCTAGAAGAATGTTTCCCAAAAAGCATAAAAATGCTGTAACGCAGCATTCACACAATTTCAACTAAATTATGTAACCATACATTAATTTATGCACGCAACTATACATAATAAAGTCTGAAAATACTGAAAAAAATTTATAATTAGCAATATGAATGCTAACGTAAATAAAACCTGATTATTTTGCTTCTGTTAATTTTTTTTATAAAAGTGAGTTATAAATTGGAACTATTTTTGAAGAACAGAAGATGAATTAATTTATGTGTTTTAGTAATGCATCTTCTTAAGCATTGTAAAGCAAATATGCATTTAAGACTAAAGAAAATTTTAAATTTCGTGCTTTGCAAGCTGATGATGAAAAAACGCGAAGTGTATATAGCATCTGTAATTTTGCTTTATGACGATCGACAATTACAGAGGTTAGATAAGAACTTCATTAAAAGTGTATTAGTTTAATTAACGTAAATACCTTACTAAATGAAACTCAGTTAAAATCATTTCTTACTGCAAAACTGAATTACTCAGAATACTCAATTTTAGACTCAATTTTAATTGTTAAAAAAGTAAAACAAATAATAATGATCTAGTAAAATGTAGGATTACTCACATATTTACTAATTCTGATTACTAAAATATTTGGTAGCTAATGCAATAATAAATTTAAGTTTGATTCTTAAAAATAAAAATTCATGTGTAAAACAATACACATTATTTAAAAACATGTAAGAAATGTTCCAACGAATTCGTGTTTCATTGTTTGCAAGTAGAATTGATTTTGATTATTAGGCTATATAAAAATCAAAGATGTAGATAAATTTCCTGATAATCATGTAATGTTTCCAAACATTGATGATATTTTTGTTTTTAATATTCGTTTGTATTTCTCTACATTTTCAAATATATTTAAGGGGTGATAAATGTCAAGATTGTCACTGAGGGGTGTTTTTTTTTTTTTCATTTTGTGCTAAAAGTCCATCTTCTTTTCAAATTTATTAAAACAATCATTTTTACTAAATACAAAGTTTAAAGTACCTGATTAAAAACTTCATTCGCTTCAAAAATATGGAAGCAGAAAATAACAGTCGACATGTTTCAAGAGCTTCGAAAATAGGTGCCCATTTTCAAGACTTGTCAGAAGTGAATGAAAGGAAAAAGTGATTTGAAATAAATAAAAAAAAATTAAAAAAAAAAAAAACGTAAAGTTGCCAACGAAAAATGAGAAAATAAAGGTGAAAAACAAGACTAGAAAATCCACAGTAGCCAAAAGAGAAAAAATGGAGCAAAAAATTCCACAGTGGCCGAGAGGGGCAAATCAGGGCAAAATGCATTTCCATGCGCTATGGAGAGGTGGAGAGAAACTATTTCGTTTACAAGGGAATCAGAGTTTATATGATTAAAACAAAATTCCAGGGCATCAAGATGAGCTAATGTGACTGAGATTGAAATAATTTTGACATTGCCGAAATTGAATTTATGTCCAAGATTCCAATAACATGTAGCGCTAAAAAATTTTTCTGCATCTTTTTTTCTCTCTCGGCTGCTGCGGTTATTTTTTCCTAATTTTGTTTCTCACCTTTATTTTACCATTTCTCGTTAGCAACTTTGCATTTTTTTAAAATTACAAACCACTTTTGTTTCATCACATTCACGTCTGACAAGTTTTGAGAAATGTGTGCGTCTTTTCAGAAAGGCTTGAAACATATCAACAGTTATTTCCTATTTCATATTTTTGAAGAGAATGAAGTTTTAATCAGGCAATATCTTATCGCTTTAGTTACTTTTGATTATTTATTTCAAAGTTTAAGTTTGTGAATAATGGACGAAAATATGTAAATCAGTCATCCTTTTTGATAATAATTAAAAAAAATTTTTGTTTGTTTCAGGTGAAACATACCAATTAGGGAACGAAATGGCTGAAGTGGTGAACGGCGTTGCTCTTATGTCATTAACGTCAGAGGAATCACTCTACAAATTGGTGAGTTCATACGTATTGAATTGGCTAGAGTGAGCTTTGGTTAGAGTAGAGTTAAGGTTAAAACATCCCATTTTGAAATTTTTTTCCCAAAACAGTCACACACTGACATATTAAGTCTCAAAGGTATTAAAAAGTAAAGATGAAACTGATTACTCTCAAATCAAGAATTTTTACTTTTGATGAAGAAAAAAAAATTGTTAACATATGGCTTTTTACTATAGAAAAGTGGTTAATAATTTTAAAAAAAACTGAGTTAAATTAGTAAACATTTAAGATTAATTAAAAAATTAGTAAGTCGTTCCTTTCCTTTCATATTTCATGAATTAAATACAGATGTATGTTGTTGTCGTTGAGTTACGTCACAATAGAGCTGCATAATTGGCTATTGGTGACGGTCAGGGAAACATCCCTGATAATTTTTTGAAGACTTGCCATCACGATTTTGATCCTCTTCAAATGGGATGGTGATGACCTGCTCATGAAGTTGAGCACTTCACGGTAGAACAGTATTACGAGAACCGACACCGCGGACCCTCGGTTCCTTCGCTGGCAGATCAAAGTGATCACCCAGCCGATCACTTCTGCGTACTACTGGAAAACGTATCTTATCAATCAGTCTACTGCGGAAAAAATAAAGAGTTATAATTTCTGTGACTATGAGTCATCAATATTTTAAGTCACATGTTGACCAATTTTGAATTGAAACTGAAAAACTTTGCAGTTTTTCATCAGATTGTATTTTATTTCAAGCAAAAAAATTTTTGGTTAACTTTAAAAAGCTCACACATATCACAATGCTATATAAATCATTTAATCACATTGACCAAACTTCATTGGTTATTATTAATGTTGTATTACTTTAACAGTAACACACACAGTATATTACCCAGTATAATCGATTCTGGGCTTGATTTCAAAGCTTAGATGTTTTTAAGAGCTGGAAACCTTAAATAAATGTTTTTTTTTTTCACAATAAATCATTCGCAAAATGTGGAAAAGTAGTGATTAAAATATGTAATTTTTTAACTTTCTTACATTTAGAGAATTTATTGAAGTCAATTTATCTAGGTTTTGTGTTCCATGAAAATTTAAAAGTTGTAACTAAATGACATTTGCTTCTCATCAATTTCTTGCGAATGAAATCCGCAACATAGCTTTAATAAAAAAGAATACAATACCTAGGTTTGATATTCTTTTGATTTGATTTATTTAATATTTCATGATAGTTGAAATAAATAATTATCCAATTTACTAAAGTAAGACTATATTTTCCTTTTTGTGGCTTGTCATTATCTGAATTATGCCTCCATTTTTATTGCAGCTTGATGACACGGAAGATTATGATGAAAGGAAAAAAGTTAGGAATCGCCTCAGACAAGTTCAGGCAGAGCTCAGAGGTAATTAAACTCGAAAATAAAGATTCCTGTTTGTTTAATTGTACTCTTACATCTAAATGATTTCCTGCACTTTGGATATTTTCATTGCAAGCTTGCAAACTCTTCCGCCTTTTTTTTTTATAATACTTTATTTTTATATCTTATGTGGTAGCAAAATCTTTGCTGTCCTATAACTAATAAATTTATTATAATCATAACCTTCATATTTAAGTAGTTTAAACATGCAAATAAACCAGCTAGTTGTGTTATTGTATTTTAGGAGATGATGAAAAGGGAATTTAATTGTATACTATATGACTTCAATAATTATTTCTCTATCATACTTAACCATACTCATGTGTGGTGGTTATCTTAGCATCAGTCCCGCGAGGAGCTCGAACTAATTCATCTGAGTGGGAATAAATAATAAATCGCCGAAGCACAACTGAATGTTGGGGTTCAGTAACATTTACTGACAGAAAATTAAAATGAAGTAGCGAGATTAAACAAACAAATTTAAGAGAGAGAAGAGGTTTTTGTGGAAGACTGACTCGCCTCCCCTCCCCTGGAGGTATTACCCCCGAGCTTCTCAGATGCACAGTAGCCACATAGCCTCAGAGAAATCGGAAAAATGCATGATAATAAATGCGCAAAAATATATACAAGTATTTACAACTATTTACAAAATTTACGAGACAGTACCCCATCGGATAGGAAAAATGTGGTTGCCGGGCTACATTTTATAATGTGCTCAAAATCAAAGTTTTTAAAGTAGTTGCTCGTATCACAAGCAGGGTTCGTGATTTTTTTGATTTTTTTAAAAAAAATCAAAAGAATCAGATTTTTTTGATTTAAATCGGATTTTTTTGATTTAAATCAGATTTTTTTGATTTTTATTCAAATACACTGTAAGAANTTAAATCAACGAACCCTGAACAAGAGAGTACATCTCTGAAGAAATTTGCACATAGTTCAGCTATGTGTTCATCTATTTTGTTGATTTTTAAATCCTTACTTTGAACTTTCATTCTCATGGATCTGGGGGCTCCAGTGATGTATCTGAGAAATTTATTTTGAGTACTCTCCAATTTCTTCTTTTGAGTAGCACACTACCATACTTATTTCACAATACGCTTTTTATAAAATATTGTATGGAATGGTAGCCTAAGCTTTTAGAATTTTTCCATTTCAAAAGCCTCACTGAGCAAGAGCTGGAGCAATGTGGCGTTGCATATGAACTTTTAAATCATTTTCATGTAGTGGTGTGGAAAGTACGTTTAAAGGAAAAAAATATTAAAACATCAACGTAGCTACCACCAGCACTGGAAGCATATATATATATAAAAGAAGAAAAGGTGCAAAAACTGTTACGAAAAACACTCCCATACCTGCCAACTTTTAATCCTTGCGAGGATGATTTTCTCCAGTGGTTGTAAAATGGAAGTTAAATTACAATTTCAGGCAGAAAAATACGCTGTTTTTCGATAAGGCTTATGTGTACTACCTCTAAAACAGAGATTCCAACTTGCTCGGGACAACAAATATATATTTTCAAGAGGAGTTTATCAATTACGACTCTTGGTTTAATAAATTCAATTTAGTAGATTTTTTCCCCACTATTTCAAAATAATTCTTAAGCATATATAATTCACCACTTTATAGTACGTTTGTCTAGGTATACCTTTTAGAAAGGTATACCCAGGTATACCTTTTAAAGCAAAAACAGTCAAATATTTGCAAAATTTACTTTGTATTTATTTACCATTTTTTTAAAATTATTTTGGCGTGTCCGGTGCAGTTGGCATCTCTGCTAAAATATTAATATATATGCTTATTTTTTTAAAAATTGTGGTGGCCAAAAAGATTATAAATAAAGTTTATAAATGCAGGGAATGTATAGAAAGCAGCATAAACTTTACCACCACTTTAAAAAAATAGAAATAAAATTTTACGCTAAATGCGTAAAAGTTGACAGGTATGCATTTCATTCTAGCATTTTTTTCGAGAAAAATTACATTTCTGTAACACTACCGAGATTTTTTTTTTTACAATTATAGCAAAGATATAAAACTGATTTTTTTCTTAAGAAAAAGTAGATATTGTTGAATAGTTTGAAGAAGAGAATAGATTTACTCCTCCCGAAAACTAGTTAAAACTGGAATGGTTTTACTACTAATATTTTTTTCCGTCTAGCTTTCATCCATGGCTATCACTAGAATAATTTTTTACGAAAAGCGTTGAAAGCTGGCTGCCCTGAACTGCCATTAGGAAAAAACTTGTGAAGTACGTGAAAGTTGCCTGTTATGCGTTTGTAAGGCCTTCACATTTTAATCCTTCTCTTTGAAGAGAGCAAACTATCCAATTCTACCACTATTCATTAACAATTATGAAGTTTTTGTGATCTTTTCCACTCAAATGTACAAGGCTGTTAACTACTCTGCTTTTCGCAAACTATTTTATAGTGTGGTATATGCATACAAAATAAAGCTCTCAGAATTTTTCAGTTCAGTTTGCAATATTTAGAATAGACTACCGTGCCTGTCAACGTTTCTGCTTTCTGAGAATAGATTTTCAAAGTGGTAGTAAAACAATTACCGAAGAACAATCTTAATATATGTATAATCAATAATATGTTTATAATTTAATCAAGTTGAAATTCACTTTCCAAACATTTTGATTGGTACTAAATATTTCCTTTTTCCAAAACTGAGTAATGCTTAAAGTGTGTTTAAAACTGCTTTAAGACGTTTCAACGATTTGCTTTGCAAACTTTCCCCAAAACTTTTTACTTTTTCCCAAAAAACTGTTTATAATGTTTCTGAACATTTACATAAAACTTCTCATAACTAGCTGCAAATGCGTGAAGTGACTTACTGCTAATATGCAATTATTTTTTTTACAGTCAGCTTTGTGTTATGACGTTAGACAGCTAAGAAATATGGCAGCATTGAGTGATGTTCTTTTGTTTTGCAGCTCAAAGAGAAGAGGCGATGAAGAAGCGAGAACAGGAGAGAGAAGACATGATCTTACAGAGGAAAAGGGATGCGGAAGAATCAAAAAGGAGGATGCTAGCTATGTACGATCAAATGGCGAAATCAGCCCCAGCTGGCGGACAAAAGGTCATGGACATCAACATCTACAAAAATGCAGAACGTAAGTAACCTTGACCATGAACAACTCTGCCATGAAGTAATTGGCTTAAAGGGGAAGAACAATATTTAAAATATACATAATGCAGTAGAAAAATAAAAATGTGCTGATTCAATTTCCCCCGGTTTTAATGTTTCTGGTTCAAGCGAACAGAAAATAGGCAATTATTAATTGAAATCAGTTGTTGATCCTGTTATTTTAACTGATGGGCATTAGAGACAACTTTACTGTCTCTAACTGTAAAATAATTACTGAAATAATGATTATTAAAATAGGTGATTATTAATTGAAATCAGATGTTGATCCTGTAATTAACTGATGGGTATTAGACACCATTTACTGTAAGCGGAAAAATTCTTAAGTGTAAACTAATTATTAAAGCAATAATTACTAAATTGGTGATTATTAATTGAAATCAGATGTTGATCATGTTATTAACTAATGAGCATTAGAGACCACTCACTGTAAAGGGAAAAATTCTTAAGTGTAAAATAATTATTAAAATAGGTGAATACTAATTAAAATCAGATGTTGATCCTGCTTTTAACTGATGGTCATTAGAGATCACTTATTGTAAGCGGAAAAAAATCTGGTTTGAATAATAAATTCTGGAAAGCGGAAAAGCAGGGTTGAATATGTATGCACATGCCATGCTTTTGTACCATAGATGCTATGTCTTTAAAGTAGAACTTTACCATTGAGTAATAGGTTAAATTCTTCAAATTTTTTTTTATAAAAGAATCTTTAGCATTAATGTAAAATGAGGCATGTTCATTCACGGACATTAGCTTCCATGAGACTTAACACATTGCATTTGGGATATTTTTTAAAAAATATGCATTACAGATGATATACATTAAAATTTTATAAAAGTGATAAGCAAGATTTCATAAAAGTTGAGCCAATTTTTCACTATAGCTACAACATCAATTTAAAAAATACTTATGGCGAACGATTATAGTACTGATTACAGGAATAATTTATGTTAATGGTAATCACGAATGGATAATTTCTTTGAAAAAGAGAGTGAAAGCGAAGTAGTTTTGCTACCACTTTTAAACTATTATATGGATTGCAGAAATTTGATAGTTCAAACGTATTTTTACATGATCCCCTTGCAATGTGTGAATATATCAACACTTCATAAAAAAAAGTTTTGGCCACTTATCATTGTTTTACAATAAGCACACATAAAAGTGAAAATTTCTTTTATCATCGATCGCAAATTTAATTATTACATACAGGCCAACTTACCTTGCTTAAGCAAAGTTTGATTGAAAGTTTTAGACTGCGATCATATGTAGACTGGGAAAAGTGACATAGTTTAGTGCCATGCTATTAAAAAATATTGGTCTTGCGCATAATGTAGATGCTTAGAAGCAAATAATTAAATTTTTAATGTTTCGTAATATTTCTTGGATAAGTGTTGACAGACTAGAAGCACAGTACAAGAAAGTATTGGAGAAGATATACTTTCGAGTGGAAGCACGTTTACTACTCTAATTCTCGTTTTAGAAATAGTAAAAAACTGATTTTTATTGTTTTAGAAGTTTATAGAGAATTCATGCAGGTGGTCCACGAAACAGTAATAGTTGAGAGCTCATCCAACTGTAATTATTGGTGGGTCCAAGGAAAGGTAATTAATTATGAGTCTAACAAATAGTAATTGTTTGTGTGTCTACAAAAAAGCAATTTTTCGTGGGCCCATCAAATTGCAATTTTTTGTGGATCCAACAAACAGTAATTAATTGTGTATTGACCAAATAGTAATTGCTTGTGGGTCTACCAAACAGAGTATTTTTTTTGGTCTAACAAACAGTAATTAAACGTGGGTCTACCAACTAGCAATTAATTATTGATCCAGCAAATAGTAATTGTTTGTGGGTCCACCTAACAGTAATTTTTTTGGGTCTAACAAACAGTAATCAAATGTGGATCTACCGACTAGCAATTAATTATCGATCCAGTAAATAGTAATTGTTTGTGAGTCCACCTAACAGTAATTTTTCTGGGTCTACCAAACAGTAATCAAATGTGGATCTATCGACTAGCAATTAATTATCGATCCAGTAAATAGTAATTGCTTGTGAGTCCATCTAACAGTAATTTTTCTGTGTCTAACAAACAGTAATCAAAGGTGGATCTACCAACTAGTAATTAATTATCGACCCAGTAAATAGTAATTGGTTGTGAGTCCAATATACAGTAATTAATTGTGAGTTCACCAAACAGTAATTGTTTTTGTGTCAAACACAAAACTTTATCAACTGAAACATTGAATTCTTTCAATTTGTGTGTAAGTGCTTTCTTAAAATTAGTGTCATTCATAAAGCAATCGCCTTTTATAGCATCTTCCACACCTGTTCAAATGCCTGCCAAGAGAGATCTAGTGGAAGAAGCTATCCAGCAAAGACAGAAAGAAGCAATTGAAAGGAGACAAAAGCTACTCGCAGCTTATGATGCAGCAGCTAAATCAGGAGTCCCTGGACCTAAATCACCAGATTTTAATGCTATCAATGAATCTACCTCAGGTACTACATGGGTTCATACAATTGCAAGATCGGGCTTTAAATATTAATGTTTTAGAAACTATTAAACATAACACAATAAGTGATATACGAAATTAAAGAAGAATATATCGATTTATATTTCAGTTACAAGTGTTCGATGCGTGACCCTATTTTTAACATGGCAAACAATTATTCTGTTATAAGGTTTGTTCCAAAAATTGGCCCCATTGTAGCACAAAAGTGTTCTGATATTTTTGCTATGTTTTTAGCATGGATGGTTTATAAAGTGTAAGAGTCAATCGCTCTTTTTAAGTACCAGCGATCGTAGCGTCTTATTAAATCAATAAAAAGTGCTTAAATAATTATGACAGTGTTTGTCAATTTTGCCTGAAACAAGATTTTTTAGCTGCCAGGACATATTAAGAAGTTCTAAATCTGCTCAACCTGAAGAACGTGCTATTCTAAAATTAAAGTGAAATCTAAAATCAAAAATTCTTTCGAATGTAAATATATTAGGTGTACCGGAAAATTCTAATTTGGGAAGGAACGCGCAATAGTCATAGTAGTGCCCTAAAACAGGGCACATAGGAAGCGAAGCGGTTTGTTTTAAAGTCTGTGAGGTCAGTTGTCTATGTGGAAACGAAAATACGCGTCAAATAAGCAAAAAAAAAGTGGTGCGGCATTTCACACAGTGGCAGTTGCGATTGATTGATTAATGATTTATTGGCAGTTGCGATTGATTGATTGATTAATGATTTAGTGGCAGTTGTGATTGATTGATTAACTCTTTCATAGCGAAGAACAAGATGAATTTTCTTCCAGGAATATTCGCTGCGTGCTGCACTAAGTTTTTCAATAGTATAACAGCATTTCCAACGACTTAGTTACCTACATTTAGTATAGATTAATATTTTCATTTTGCTGTTTTTATCCCTGTAAACATAAAGTGAGAATTTTCATTGATTACAATTGATTAGTATTTTTTTAAATTTTTCGTTTTGTTTCAATTTTAGCACAGAAAGAGAGACAAAGCCGCACTTTTGCCGAGATGAAAGTGCTAAAGTAATTTAAAAAATAAATAAGAATAAGTTAAGATTCTATCACTTTTTTAATTTTCAGTCCACGTGCTCTAAAACGATAGTAATTTTAAGAGTGCTCAGTATTTAGTTATTCTGAAGCTATACATTTTTTCTTTTAACTTAGTAGTTCTGTTTATGAAGCTTTTAAATTTATATTTACTTAATATTTAGAAATAAGTCAAGATCATGACATGATAAGTCAAGATCATGTCAGTCAAGATAATGCAGGTGCGCGAATGTGTACCTTGGTGTCGTATGGCGGAATTTATGATAGCATAGAAGGCAAAAAAAAATCTCCGGTATTATGAAATCTATAAACTATTTAGAGAGATTATGAGCGATTATATCAATTTAGTTGTATTTATATGCGTATTTTAATAAATTATTTCATGTTAAGGTACATACATTTAATATTATTTTATATTTCATTTTTATGTTTGTTTCCATGATTTTAAAATCCCCCCCAAGAACTACATATTTATTTAATAAATAATGTCATGTTCTTTTAAATAATTATTTATTTTGCTCGTATGCATAATTAAAATAGTTTTGAAATTGATATTTAAAGCAGCATTGCAATGTGCTTATAAAAAACTTATTTATATATTTTTAAAACTTATTTAAGTATATTTTAAAATTTTTAATAAATCTATTCATTATTGTATTTAAATAGACCATATAATATAAAAATATGCTTGTTTGTTCATATTTTAGGTGCAATTTAGCATTTGAAATATTTATATTCTTTAACTTATTTATGACCTAAAATTATTAGCCCCCTGGCAGTATAATTCATATTATCTTTATCTTATTTTTACTAATGGCATTAAAATAAAAATTCAGAGCTGCAAAATAATTTTTTGCTACAATCTTTTATAATTCAGTAGTAAAGAGGTTAAATAAAAACGGACATTAACGTGTTGAAATTCGAATTAATTAATACCAGTTTAATTTCTCCACATAAGTTCAATGCGTTCTTGAAATAATGGCTGAGGAACTTTTCATTTTCCATTTATTTTAATATAATTTTTTTTAATGTAAAAGTTCGAATCAACGAATACGAAAAAAAAATTTAAAAACAAACAAACCTTTAAAAATGAAACCTAACGTTTTGTTTATTTTTATTGACGGATATAGTGTTATTTCATTTTTTTTTCCATCCCGGATGAAAATGTAATAAAATTATATTTTCTAGCTCCTGTTACACCTGTTGCAAAGAAACCAGTAGATCATTGCACATTTGGAAGCATTATTCCTAAAACACCAGTTCAAAGTAAGTTAAATTTATGTAATTTAATCATTTACAAATGCACATCTTTATACAAAAAATTATTGAAAGAAAAACAACAGATAAAATCATTTATATTAGGTTGCAAAGTTTCATTCAAAAAAATTTTTTTTGCTTTAACTCAAACTAGGTGAAGGAAGGATAAAAAAAATTTATATATTCTATAGAAAATAATACTTTTCTTAAAATAATGAAAATATTTTGTTTTTGTTTCATGTAACCAGATCAAAGAAAAACAAACAATATAATATAAACAATACAAACAGCATTCAAGTTAAAGCTGAATTAAAAAACACCCGGTTAAACTGACCGCATTATTCATTTCGCATAGTTGTTTTAAAGTTTAATTTATTGTTTAATAGTATATTTTTTGTTGTTCGCACAATTTAAAATAATTGCAAATATTGTGATCTCTATAATTTAACATTAAACGATTCACGAAATCAATGATTGAAAATAACGCTGGGGATCAAATGTCTTGTTGCATTTATACAAATTCCGAAATTACGTTTGTTTGGAAAGCTACAAATCTTCTTTCAAAATTATTTTTAGTTTTGTTTATTTTTTCACAGAATGTAGTACAAGAATGTTGTTATGTAGTTAAAAGGAACGTAAAGGGTTAGATACAAACAAGTTTATAAGGAATTTATAGGAGTAGATACATAAGTTTCGATACATAAGTTAAGTTACACATAGTCTACTCCCTAGAATTTATCACTTAAGTCATAAAAGAATACGATCGTAACGTATCTCATCATAAACTAAATTGTATTATTGCTTTTTTCTTGCCACTCCTTGCGTAGAAGAGAAGTGGGGGCACTTAGTATTCACTCGAGTAATTTTTTTAAAAAAGAGTCTTGGTTAGGAGTATATCATTAAACTACATAAAATTTGTTAAGAGAAACCTATTTCAGTTTTGAAATCAGCTACCCGAAAAAAATCTAGAAAAAATATAAAAGGATTATAAATAATAATTCATTGTAATTAATTATAAATATTACATTACAAAAGGAATAAATTTTCCCTCTCTGCAATCAGGAAAGGTAATATTTTATCATAAAATATGAATAAATATAATATTCAAAGATTCACAGTTGAGCGAATTTACGGTAAAAATTTAAATTTCAAAATGATTTAATATAGAAAAGAGGGAATGCTTGCCGAGTAAATGTTGTCAATTGATAATAATATGAAATCTCTAAAAAATATTCCAACAAAATCAGAAAATCATCAGTATTAATAATCATTACAAACGTATGCAAACATAGCTACTGATTTGGAATATAGGGAGTATAATTTATTTAGAAATGTATTTACATAAGAAAAGACTTTTAAGTTAGTATTTCAGGATGTAAATAACAAATAAATAATAATAANTCATCAGTATTAATAATCATTACAAACGTATGCAAACATAGCTACTGATTTGGAATATAGGGAGTATAATTTATTTAGAAATGTATTTACATAAGAAAAGACTTTTAAGTCAGTATTTCAGGATGTAAATAACAAATAAATAAATAATAATAATAATATTAAAAAGGATACAAATAAAAAAGCATTGTAAGAGGATAAGTTCTATTAGCTGAAAAAAATTATAAATCTGAAAAAAATAACAATGTTAAACACTGCAAATCTAGGTTGTAGTTTTTCTTTTAAATGAGTTACAAATTATCCACCCATTTTGAATAAATACAAATTGTTTTAAATTAGACAGCACTTTACTGACTTTGTTATTTCATATATATGTAAAAAACAATTTGTGATTTAAAGAGCAGAGTAAAATGCAATAGCACTTGCTTTGTTTTGTTTCTGATACTAAGTAAATGTTTTTTTATTTGCGTCCAAATATGCTGAATCAGTTTTGTCCTCGGAACTAGCTACACAATTAATTAAAATAAGAAAGTCTGCTACTGAAACTGCGGAAATTGGCAACCAAATCAAACAGGATGCTAACAATAGCGTAAATGCAATCTCTTTCGTTGTACTGTCAGTTTCGGTAAATCAAAACTTAATACCAGTCACACTAAATAACGCATGGTTGTAAAAATCAAATCTTCACGAATTACATTTTGATGTATTTTTAAGTAATCCTAGTTCATCCTTTTTATGCACTTGAAATTAGCGCCATTTTTTTTCTCTTTTTTTCATATAACAGACAATCAGAAAGTGTCAGCCAAGGCTAAGTTTCAGCAAATGGACGCAGTCCAAAATAAACAAGCGCCATCCAGACCAAAGTAAGTATCTGTCTAGCTGTTTCACTTTCTTACTTTATTTTTTATCCTCCCCCTTTACTTTTTTTATTATACTAAAATACCCTTCCAGTTGAACATTTAAATTTATTTTCTGAAACAAGCGAAGTCACGCCACCTGGTTCTTCTCAGGCGTAACGTGTATCAAAAGAGTTTGATAAACAATCGAGTTTTTTAAAATGGTTCGTCAGTGAAAGATACGTTTATGATGTCTGTGGGGAAAATGGTTGAAACTTAGATAATTTTAAACTGAGTTTAATATCATTCAACTTGTTCTGCATCACGCACACTGTAAAAAATAGATACTTAAATTTCATGAAACTTTTTGACGAAGCAATTTGCTTCTATATGCCCCGAGCAAAATTTTCACCCAAATGACGTGTTCTATTTTTATTTTGTGACCGTCGTTGAACAGCCAACCAATGTTGTTGCTATGTTGTTGTTGTTTTATTTCATCCACGGCATATAAAAAATTCAAAGTACCATATGAAATTCAACTTTATTCAAGTTTTACGACTACCAATGTTCAACTCAGTTGTCTTTGAACCTAAACCAGAAGACAAGGGAACTCCTAGATCAAGTATTGGGGGAAAAATCTGCCTCGGTGGAGGACTATTTGATATGACTAACCCGCATTTGCGTTAGAGATGAAAAACACGAAAACCTCCCATGGTTAACTTGACGGCTAGGGGACTCTAACCCATGGGCCGTCTACCACTGAAGATATTTAACGTCAGCACAGTGGTCAGTGCGAGGTGGGAGCGGAATTCGTATTGTTGGGAGTCGAACCCGGATCACCTCATTAGGAGGTGAGCACTCCACCCCCTAAGCCACCACGGCTCAAATGAGACATGATTTTTATAACAGTCTGTGAACTGCCTTCCCAATTTTTGAGTTTACGACTACTAATGTTTAACATCGAAGCCTTATAATTTTGAACCCAATCCAAAGGACGGGGTAACTCCGAGATCAAGTATTGGGAGACATTTGCCTTCTCGGAGGACATTTTTGATGGGACTGACCCACATTTACGCTACATGGAGATAACAAACACGAAAACCTCCTACTGTTAGCTTGACGGCAAGGAGAATCTGATTCATGTTTCGTATAACACTGATGATATTCACTTCAGCACTACGGTCGGTGCGAGCCGAATGCGAAATTCTTATCGACCAAATATATCGCTGGGTTTCGAACCCGGTTCATCTCATTGGAAAGCGAACGCTCTATCCCCTGAGCAACTACTGATCAAAAAGGACACATGATTCAAGTATACCCTATCAAATGTGTTTAAGTAAAATAAAAAAAGCAATGAAAAAATCATTTTTCCCTTCGTGAAATGTAGAAAAATTTTCGACTTGTGAGGAATGAAAAAATAGAATTATGAGCTAGAATACCAATTGAAGAACTTCATGTAAAGTAAGAACGCTATATGAATTAGCTATAATCATGATAAGAAGAAAGAAGAGAAAAAGTTGTGTCCCAAATATTTTATTACAGATTTATTAAAAGGCAGTCCTAATAATTCTTTGGCTTATTTTAATTGCTGTTGTTGTTCTAATGCTATGTTGTTGTTGTTGTTTTATTTCATCCACGGCATATAAAAAAATTCAAAGTACCATATGAAATTCAACTTTATTGCAATAATCTGACGGTGATATATTTATAGAGATGGCTTAATTATCCTTTTTTTAACAATTTATTAAAAACAAATTTAGAAAGCGGAGCAGTTGGCATTTCTATCCTTGTAGTTTCATTATTATAAAACAGAAAGTTTATAAAAATAATTTTGTTAGCTTTCTTATTCCAATATAGTCATTTTTGAAGGAAAGTTCGAGCCAGCAAGTTAGAATAAATTGATTTTCTTACGAATTATTTTGCTCATTTCCGTTCTGATCTTTATAAACTACCGCACTGTGCATCTCTTAATTAATTTTTTCAGATGCTTTTTTATTTTTTTCTATTTCTTATCTGTAAAATCAACTCCAGAGATATTTTTTATTATTTAAGTATTTTTTTAACAGATTTTTTGGTGGGGGATATTTTTCTAGTCAAGTTTATTTAATGATCAACTTCACAATTATATAATGTAAGGAATAAAAAAAGAATTTATGGCCTGTTGTTGTTACTCATGCCACTCATCAATACCAGCAAACCAGCTTGACATCAAGCGAGTTTTTGAGGCAGAAGGTGAATTTTTTTTTTTTTTTTTTAGTGGCGCTATCTATGGAGAAGAATACGACTTCAGTCACACACACGTCACAGCACATTTTACAGGGAGGACCCAATCATATTCCATTCATTCACACACAGATTGTCGAACGATCACTCTCCTACTTCAGAGGTACTGATTTGTTATGGGAACTTAGAGGAACTTGTCACCCCGACATATTTAACGCGCACCAGTCACCATTTAATACAAGGGATTCTTTGGCTGGCCTGATTCGAATTTTCGTTCTCACGAGTCCAAAATCCTACCAACCAGGCTATCTCGGCCATTTATAGCCAGTGGATTAATTGAACAGGATGGGGTTATATTTTTAATGGAGTAATTATTATTATTATCTATTTGTAAATAATTTTTGAAACATATTTTTCAGTGAGGGTCATTTTTCCATGATCCTGTTTCTTTGTGGTTTAGTCGAATGTCGCAATTACTCGTCAACTATTAGTTAATTTTATCAATTAATAATTTATTAATTTTTAAATAAAACAATCTGCAACACACACATTTTTCCAGCCGAATGTTTTAGGTTTTAAACTCGCAAATTCTCTAACAGGTTGAAGCAGGAATTTTTTTGTTTCATTTTTTTGGGGGGGGGATTCATAAATTCTTTTTAATAGGAATATTTTTTCTGTCGTTTTATTAGCTTACAACTGAAAATAGTGCTTTATTATATGCATTCATGAAAATATTTCAAAATAGTGCTTTTAGTACTTACAACTGAAAATAGTGTTGAAATGTTGTTGCACATTTAAAGATGAAAAGCATGCATTTAATTTTTTAAAATTGCGAATTAAACAGTTCAGTTTTGGAGAAATATGCCGGTCAGATAGCGGAGCGGTCTGTGTGACTGACTGAGACGCCAACGGTTGCGGGTTCGAATCCCGCTCACGGCATAGATATTTCTCTCTGTGTTATTCTCTGTTGTGTGATTTGTGAATTTGGCCCACTTTATGAACGGGTATCTGGAGTTGGTGAAGTTGCTCGCCTCCGTTACTTAGGCTCACGGGTACCCATCGGGTAACGTTAAAAAGCAGCACTTCCGGCATCTTCCGAGGTGATGAACGAGTGTTCAGTGCCTGCCGTTAAAAAATAAAAAAGAAATGGTGGATTGTGCCAACGCCTCCTATAACTGAAAGCCTCCACATGGTTTCACATAGGTAGTCAAATCAGATCACTATGAAGGTAAACCAATTTACGAAAGAGCTATTTAATAAAGATATATTAAACATTTGAAAGAGGTAGCAAAGATATGTCTAAAAACTTGTGTAATTTATGAGTATATTTGGTTTGAAATATTATTTATTTGTCAACCACTACAAATTCAATTCTGAAATATTTATGATACATTTCTCTCATTTACTTTTAAAAGTAAATTCGATAGCGACGCTAGAAACTGTACGGCCTCGAATTTCAATCCTTTGCTAGACATCAGCTTAATAGACGACAACATTAAATATAGCCAAGTAACTGCTTTCCTCATGTCCGATTGTATCATATCAAAATATTACAAATGATAGTACCGCTGTTGTTTTAACTCTTATATACTATTGACCCTGGGGATCTCCCCAGTTAATTTTGTACCAGTATAAGCTTATTCCGTCATGACTTATGAGCATAGAACAAACCATTATAAGATGAATCGGTTGGTGCCGCTACGCGCCAAATACCGAGGTACCCTACATATCCAGCATTACTTTTAAAATAGAAATTGGGTTAAATGCGGACAAGTGGTTCGCTTTTTAAATACTCTGGGCAGACTACTTACAAAATCCCGTGTGTAGGCTTTCTGATGTAGGAAGTGATAAATATACACCAATTTGAACAGAATCGGAAATTAATATAATTAGATAGCCTATAGAAATGACAGAAAGATTTTATAAAATCATATAACTTGTAATAAAGGATTGTTTGTAATGATTATTACACACCCGTTATTTTAGGACCACCGAGATTAAATTTGACCACGGAAAAAACAAGAAAACCCTTACTCTCATACATTTTTTTTTTCATTCAGATTATAAGGGTGGCCAATATTTTCTTACGATAAGTAGAAAATACATTTGTCTTAAGTTCCACAAGGACTGTATTTCACATTTATTTTGCGGAAACCTTAAAAACCATTTCTCTTCAAGATTTTTTTTAAACATAAATTTACGCCTAGAATATTTGTCTTTGTTTAATAGAAAACTCACCAAAATAGAATTTAAAAAAATGCATCTTTAAAATGACCATGAAATCTGGATATATCTCGCTTAACCTCTTATAAGTTTATACTAAATATATACTCTAAGCTAAGTATATTATATGTTCTTAAAGAGTGATTAGTTTTCGTAAACACTTTCAGTATTTCACCACGTATTTAACGATTAATTTCCTCGTCTTGAAAATGAATTGATTGTGATAAGAATCATCTTATTCGATCAATATATTATACAGAATAAACGCATTAAAAAATTTTTGCTTTTTGATAAGATTACAATCGCTTAAGATGGGTAACGATGAAATGTATGTTTATAAACAAAACAAAACTTTTTTTAAGCATGAATCGATACGTCAAAGAAAACTTCATTTCATTCGAGACGTTTTATTTAAAAAAAAAATTATTTTTTTTATCTTGATAAAAGCCAATCTTTATCAATTCAACAGTTTATTTATCTGCATCAAAATATAAAACAATTAAATTAAATATTTCATTCGAAATTATTTCTTTTACACATTTCATTTATCATGTTTTGAAAAAATTAACACAACGAAAAACGAAGATCATATAATAGGTATATTTTTGTACTAAAAGGTACAAATACACATGCAAACAATAATTAATCTGGTATCATAGAAAAAATTTCTTTACTAAAATTACTTTATATTCGAAGAGCCTAATGATAAGCCACACTTTTTCTGAAAATGACATTTTTGCGTCAAACTGTTCCTTATTATTGTATCCGAATGCCTTAAGCGTCACCAGAAGCAGAAACATAGATCAAACAATTGTAAGGTAGGTCATTAGAAAAGATTTTACTAAGTGTAGCAATACTGTAGTATTAAAATTTTTCCTAAATTTAAGCTACTTCACCAACTTTTAAACTATAATTGCATGACTACTTTTTTCTTCTTTTATTAACTTTCTCAATAGGTTTATTTGTAATGAGGACAATATAACAATTTTACAATTGTAAGCAGATGTTATTTTAACTATGCAAAGTTATTTTTATGTACTTAAAAAGTATTGATAGATATTCTAGGAAAAACTTAGATATAAATTTTTTTTTATATTCATTTAAATTATTTATGCGTTAATGCGGGAAAAAATCATTATTAATCAACTTTATCAGATGGAAATATTAACATTTACACTACGCTATCACTTTGAAAATAAACTCAAAATCTCACGCAAAAATCTGCAGAACCGGAAACTGTTCCATAACAGAAAACAATAAATGAAGCGATAGAAAAATATAAGAGAAGCAAATAATTTTTATTAAATCCCATCACTGAAGCTCAATTAAACTATTATCACTTAAGTAAATTAAAGAAAAGTAATTAAGGTAAATCACATAATACACAAGTAAATGTTTAATAACTTTTGAAATATTCAAGTTATTTGTTCGTTTTAAAGCACAAATAATTTTTCATGGCAGGATTATAGTTTATAATCATGGCACTGCATCTACAGAGATGCCAACTGCTCCGGACACGACAAAACAATTAAAAAAACGGTAAATAACTACAAAGTAAATTTTGCAAATATTTGACTATTTTTGCTTGCTTTTTAAAAGGTATGACATGACATAAGTTTCACAAAGTGGTAAATAATATAAGGGTGCGAATTATTTAGAAATAGTGGTGGATAAAAATCAACTAAATTGAATTTATTAAATCAAGAATTACAATTGATAAACTACCACTTTGAGATATATATTTGCTGTCCGGAGCAAGTTGGCATCTCTGCATCTAGAGCAAGGCGCCTAACTCGTTTTGTCCCGAATTTATATATTGAAATGATACAAAAAGTTGTTTTATGGAAAAAGTGTTATAATATACTATCGAAATTAAATGGTTTTTCTACTGTTATAGCATTCTAAAAGTCTTTGATAGATCAAAAAGTACTTGCTCCTTATAATTCTAGATCTAATCAGAAATAACTAAATAATCATGGTACCTGAAAATCTTTTAATTCACCCAGATAAATGAAAATACTGAAAAAAGTTTCCCGCCATTTTCCGTCTTTGAAAAAGGGAACTGTCTTATNAACTTTTAAACTGACTCAATAAAAAACGGTAACTTAAATGTAGTCGTTGCTAATTTGACAGACTTACTTTGCTTTTACTTAAGTTATTTGTGTGCGGGGATGGATGAAAAAAATTATTTTAAATCTAGTTAATAAATCAATAATAAAATATTAAATTATTAATTTATCTACCACTTTAAATCTTTAAATAATAATGCTCTGGTAAATCAGAATAAGTTAGCAGTTATTTACTCAGATGTATTAGTTAGAGCCCCTAGCGGGGCTGATGCTAAGATAACCATCACACATGAATATGAGTAGCAGTTCTTTACCTAAAAAAAATAAATAAGTGGTAGCTAAAAAAATTTTTTAATTACTGAAAAATACTTAAATTTAGCTTCTTTTTTTGAGAATTATGGAATTAATCCCTAGGTTTTTTTTTTGAATTCATATATATTTCCTTTAAATTAAAATATCTAAATTTATCTCACTTTCACTACCACTTTTAAAAAATTTCGGACAGTAGGAAGCCTGTGTTTGATTGAATTTATGTTGGAACGTACTCTTTTTACGTAAATATACTGAAATTGAAATTTTTGTTCTGAAGTAATGACACGTCACTTGGACGAAAAGGAACAAAAATCGATGATTTTAAAATACTTAAACTGAACCATATTTAAGAAATTGACACTTATTTTTAATGATTTAAAATTTAGTTGATGGTAGATATTGCATTTGTTGCAGCTTTGGTAACGCATTAGTCGGATATATTATGTGAAAGAGATTAAAAGAGGAACATAAAAACGTATAATCGTTATTTTATTGCACGGACTATTAACTTGTTGCTATTAAAATAGATTTCAAAAAATGTTCTTCTATATTAATACTTTATATAACAGCAACTATCTTAATAACTTTTCTTATCTTTGTTAAGTCATACCCAGGGTTGCCAACTTTCAGAGCTTTAAGTAACATTTACTCTAGTGGTACCTAAGTTTAGGTTTTATTGTATTATTTTTAAATTCATTTGAATTTATTTTTCGCACAGCTACATATAAATGATTTAAAAGTTCATATGCAATGCCAGTTTGTTCCAGCTCTTTCATGGTGAGGCTTTTAAAATGTTGACTAAATTGCTGAAAAAAATTAAATTAATATAATAATTATTAAAATTAAAATAAATTAATGAAATAGTTGGAAAAAAATTCCGAAAGCTTTAGTTTTCAACTGTCTGCAACTCTATAAAATATTTTTCTAAAAGATTTGTAGTTGGCAGGCCTGCATACTTTCTTCGGTTAAACGAGTTCCACAATTTTCCTAACGATCTTTACTATTTTTTTTCCCTTCTCTTTTCTTTCAGATTTAGCTTAAGTTCTTTAAATTGTGCTCTAAACGACAATTTTGTTGGGTCTAAGATTTTGAGCTAAATGACAATTGTGTGTGGTCAAAGTTGTTTCAGGATTTTTTGCTAAATAATTATTTTGCCTGTTCCAGAAAATTGATTAAGAATTTCATGCTAAATGACAATTGTGCTTGGTCTGCGAAAGTTGTTTCAGGATTTTGTGCTATTGATCACTGTAGTCAATTCAACTCCAATCCTAGTCACCTTTTCTCAATGCTAATTTTATTTCAAGGAAAAAAGTATAACAATAATTTTAGAGTTGATTGTGGTTTTCATCGTTAAGTTAAGCAATGGAGATACCAAATAAGATAATTTCAAGTATCTTTCACCTTTGTAACCTTTTTATTGAGTGATAACAGAAAGCGAGAGCTTACTTTACTTACAAGTATGCATTTTTTAGACCATTATTTATAAACATATCTTGCATATATTTTTAAGATTAAGGTTTGATAACGAAAGCTGTATCAATAAATATATCAATAAAGATATTCTTTAAGAATTGTTTCTTCAAACTTCATTGATAATGCGAAATATGCGAATATAATTAAATATTTTTCAACCAATATGTGTATTTTTCATATTTTTATACGATTAGGGTCAAAAAGAAATCTATTCCTTTTTCTTCCCCCCCCCCTCTTTTTTATATTATTTATTTTCTTAATTTAACCTTTGTATGTATTGCGTAAAAAATAAGCATAAATACTGAAAGAAATTTTTTAAACCTTTTACTCCCTCTGCTCTAAATTACATTTAGGTTGTAAGTTTTGTCCCAAATTAGCTGCTACAGTTCAAGTGGATGGAGTCATAAATAACTTCAGATTCATCAGCACCAATAAAATTATACTATTAACCCCTTCGGGACGGGTGATTCAGAGAAGCATTCGTACAAAATCAGGATGTAATTAAATAAAAAACGGTAACTTAAATGTAGTCGTTTCTAGTTTGACAGACTTACTTTGCTTTTACTTTAATTGTTGTTTATTTAATCTTCTATATAATCAATGTTAATTCGAAGTATAACTAAATAGTTTTATTTTAAACAAAGTAATGGTGAATTAAATAAATCAAACAATTATAACTCCGCCCACTAATAAACGGCTAAAGAATTACTTTTACCCTGGTTGATAGGGTTTTATGCCGGCACGTATTTCTGACAGTCGGCGAGAAAGGGTTAAAGAATCTGCGATTCTTTAAGTAGAAGATAGCTTCATGTGACTACTGGTAAAATAGTTCTTAAAAATGCGGTGGGGCTTAGAGCCTGGGAACCTTAAATTTTTGAAACTATTTTGATAGAATTTCATTTAAATTCAAGCAATAGAATTTCATATCAATTCTATTTGATAGATTCTACTAATTTCAATGGAAGGGAAGAACGAATGCTTGGTAAATGAATGTTGTTGGTAGACAACATAGCACACTGAAAAATGAACATTATTTTAACAAAATCTCAAAATACAACGGTATGAATAATCAATACAAAAATATTAAACTGTATCAAACGATTTGGGACAGAGAGGGTATTATTTTTAGATTTCCGGAAAAAGAAAGAGCCTGAATATTAAATAAAAGAAAAGGCATGAAATACCACAAAAAAATAAAAGATTCACGACTGTTGAGCAAAAATTAACAATAATAAAAGAAAAACACCGATATAAGAGAAAACTAGTTTGTTTTATTTCAAAACTTTATTCCGAATAACTAAAATAAACTCTCTAAACTGTGAAAACTATTATTAGATAAAGCATCTCAAGTTGTTATCTTTAAGGTACATGTGCACCCTTGGTGGTACTAAATCAGTAACAACTTTGCTACTGGAAATTGGGAAGTCTTAGACTTTGTGAGAACACTTACTTCTTTGTGTTTTGTTCCTTGTTTTTATTCTTATTTTTTCCCCTTTGCGTATTTTATCTCTGTATGACGTAAGGATTTTGTATGTATTGCTTGCTGCATTACAAATAAAGGGATTTAAAAAAAAAAAACTACTAAACAAATTAATGAAGATGCATAAAGTGACGAAAATTTATGAGTATGCTTTTTCATCCACTACTTTTTTTAATAACCAAAATCTACCTAAGGATAGACTTCAATAGTCAGAATGGTGACTGCACTTGCAGTTATAATTGAGACATTTAATGTAATTTCATAATTTTAAATGTATGTTAGGCTTTGCATTTGCGTTGGTTATCAGGAGGCACTGTACTAACAGTGGTTTTTTCGTTTAATGAAATGAATAATTTTAAATCTAACTAGAATTACACTTGCAATAGATGTAATTTTGATGTAATGCACAATTTCAAATTTAACCAGCTTTGTATTTGTAATGGTTGTTCTTTTAACGCAAAGTATATTTTTAAATGTAACAAGAATTACCATTGTAAAACTTGTCATTTTAATGCAATGCATAATTTTAATTGCATTTGAAATTATTGCTTTTTTTAAATGTAATACATGATTTTAGCTTTAATAAATATCAAAAAATACCAATTAATGAAATAAATATTACTTTAAATATGTTTTCTTTTATGTATTAAGCAAATTGAAAACGTTCTGAGTTTAAAAGAATACTTTTATTATAGAATGTGGAAATAACGAATTTTTCTACCTCTTGGAATGATGGAATGGCATTTTGTGCTTTAATTCACCATTTCTATCCAGATGCATTCGAATTTGAGACATTGAATCCCAAAAACAGAAGATACAATTTTGATCTCGCATTTAGAATCGCCGAGTAAGTAATTATTTTCATGTCATTATCTGTGCCTGGAAGGTTTTTAACCGACTGAACAAAACACCACCTCGAAAAGAGAATGTCTTCGCCAACTTTTAGATAACTGTAAAGATGTAGTGTAGCAAACTTAGTAGTTCCGGCTAATGTGAATTTGTTTAGGAGCTACTTATTTATCATACATGGGAACGTTACTTTTGAAAAGTAATAACGCATAATTTAAGCAAGAGTAACGAGTGAAAAGTAAGACGCAAAAGTTCAAGTAACAAAACAAAAAGTAATGATTTTAAAGTACATTTCGAGGAAATTAAAAATTCAAAGTAATCGAAGAAATGCATTAAAAATGTAAGGAAAATTTATTTAAAATGCATTAAATTTTAATTTAAAAGGTATGAAACTTTAAAATGCAGAAAAATGATACAGAGTTGTATTGATATATAGTGAACGTTGAAAGAAACCAAACTAGAAATAAAAACTCAGCGTTTGAAGGTAAAAGGGAAGGAGATCGCAAATTGTATTCGAATTGAAATTGTATCTAGAATTGTTCTTGTGTAAGTAATCCTTAAAGAAACCTAAAGATTGAAAACGTAATCCTTAAAGGTGTTTGGAAAAAGAAGTTAGCTATTAAACAACGTATATATAATTCATTAAATTTATAAATTTAAAAATATAAATAAATTTTAAAAAAATAAATTTTAGAAAAATAAATTTAAAAAAAAATAAATTTTAAGAAAATAAATTTTAGAAAAATAAATTTAAAAAATAAATTTAAAAAAAATAAATTTAAAGAAAATAAATTTTAGAAAAATAAATGTAAAAAAAATAAATTTAAAAAATATAAATTTAAAAAAAGTAAATTTTAGAAAAATAAATTTAAAAAAAAAAAATTTCCAAATTCCAAAAAAAATAAACTTCAAAATAAATTTTAAGAAAAATAATTCATTTTGAAAATTTAAAAAAAAAAACTTCAAAATAATTTTTTTTAAATAAATTCAATTTCTATTTCGGAAAAAAATCTTACAAAACAAGGTCTTAAGAAGGAACTCTTCGACATAGAAAATTAAATTAACATTAGGGTAAATATGTAATGCCAAACGGAAAATAATTTTGAGGCTTTCGAAATATCGAAATTCAAGATATAGAGAGTATGCTGTACTTCAGGATGGATACGATAAAGGCCGCTGCACCGCCCCAGGTCCCCAGATTTAACTTCCCTAATTGATTATGGTGCAGCCAATATTTTAAGTTAACGAAATCAGATACAAAAACGAACTTTCTCTAAACAAACATACCTTCTTTTTCAACGGGTATGGACTTGAAACTCCCAAGATTTAGGGGGTAGCCACAATATAAGATTGATGGTCCTACTAGTTTCGTCAGGAGAGATGTCAAAGGTTTGGACCCCTTAATATTATTTTTGTTCTTTGCGTATTTCACCGTGTCTCGTGAACTTTTTAAGTAAATTGAAAAAGTTTTGCACACAAATATAAGTTTCGTTTACCCAAAGATAATTCCATTCAAGAACTAAACTTCAGTATTTTTGTTTTTATTATTTTATTTAATAATATTCGAAAAATTTTGAATGTTTTTTTTTAAATGGCAGGCACTGAACTTTATTCTTCGTGTGAGAAGATGCCGGAATTGTTACTCATTTCACGTTACCCAGTGGGCACCTGTGAACCAAAGTCATGGAGGCAAGCAACATTACCCATGCCACACTGCCACAAACCCGTTCATAGGGTGGGCCACATTCTCACATCACACACAACAGAGGAAAACACATAGAGAGAAACATCCATGCCCAGATCGGGATTCGAACCCGCAGCCATTGGCTTCGCAGTCAGGCGCGCTAACCGCTCGGCCACCTGGCCGGCAAAATTTTGAATGTAAGGCGTACAATTTTTTACATCATTTCAAAGTATATAATTTCACATGACAAAATACAAATGTTGAACGATGTCGGTTTAATAGTTTCTGAGAATTCGAAATTTAAAAATACGACATTTTCTGAAAATTCGATTTCTCAGGAACTATTCAACTGATTTCGCTCAAATTTTGTATTTTGCCATGCAAAATTAGATGCTTTAAAATGAGGCAAAACATCGTATAACTTAGAGCTTAAAAATTTTTCGACTATTATTAAATAAAATAGTAAAAAATAATAAATATTTACTTAAATTTACTTTTTGCGTGGAATTATTTTAGGATAAACTAATTTTGTATTAGTGTGCAATATTTTTTTTAATTCGCTTTAGAAGTTCTCGAGATATGGCGAAATAAGCAAAAAGTGAAATAAATTTACATTAGGGGGGTCCCAACTTTGCAGTGCTCTCCTGACGGCAGTATTAGCACCATGTTTATCAGATTGCGATTACCTCCTATTTTTGGGGGTCAGAATTCCGAAACCGTCGAAAAAAAGGTATATTTAATCAAAGAAAGTACAATTTTGTGTCTTATTTCGTAATATATTGTCTGCACTAATTAATTAGCATGTATGAGGTCGCCCTCTCAAATCATTAAGATTGGGTTTTGGAATGTGAAGATCCGATTATTATATCAAAAGTTATTCAGGGTGCTCCGTTTTTTTTTTCTTCCTCTTTTGGCACACTGTACTTTCTATGTTCTTTATAAACTTTTGAAAATTTTACCACGTTTTTGTCAGCTTATTATTTACTTGCCAAGTTTATATAAAAAAAGTCAACTTTATTTATCAAAAGGTGTTAATAAATCCATTTAAATATTCTAAAGAAAAAAAAAGGTAAGGGTACAGAATAAAAAAAAAGTTTCTGAGATTAAGTGCTTTTTGAAAAAAAATATTGTTAAAAATTATGTATCTCCGTATAATCATAACCACTGACGTGCTTACCTTAATGCAATGACATTGAAATTTAGTAGGTACAAAATTTGCATTTATTTATTTAGTTTTATGATTTTTTCAGAGAAAAAGCTGATATCGCTCCACTGCTTGATGTAGAAGACATGGTAATAATGAAAAAACCCGATTGGAAATGCGTGTTTACTTATGTCCAAAGTTTCTACAGGAAATTGCATGATAAGGATTAATAAGCATGCTCCTGTTTTCTTAGCCCTATTCACTGTGTTCTGCCGCTTCCTGAACAGACATTTACTGTTTTGAGCGACGAAATATAAAATAATTGATTTCATGTATATAATATTTATGTTATGTTGTTATGATCTTATTTACCATTTTTTGTCATTCTTACGAACTATTTGATGTTTTGATCAGGTAAACTAATTTTCACTTTCCTGACAAAAAAAATGCTTATGATATCATATTTATTTACATTTTGAAACTGTAACCATCATATACAAGATTTGTATAAAAATATGGAGATTCTTCTATGCTAAATCTAAGTAAAAAAATCTTTCTTTTAGCAGCAAATGTTGTGGAAAGTTAGACGTTGTGTAAGTGGCGACATTAGTGGCGTAGTTTTGACATTATTGAATTAGACATTAGTGGCGTAGTTTTGGTGAGGGTTAGAGGGACAAAACCCCCCTTTGAAATTATACATTACTTGATTATAAACTATTGTTAAGTTAGGTAAGTAGGACGTAGATATAAAAATGAAAAAGTTGTTTGTAATCTAAACACTTAGAATATACGAGGGCTGTTTTTTAAGTGAAGTCCGTTTGAAAATAAAAACCAAACGAAAGAAAATTTTCACGAAGCAAACTTATTTTTCGATTCTATATACGTTTCTCTTCATTTTTTTTTCGAAATAGTTACTAAGTCTGCTTAAACACGTATCATACCTTACAACTACTAGATATAAAATACCCTCTTCGTAGTAACTTGCCGCCAACTCCGATAACAAAGAGGTCACAACTGTTTTCCCGTCTTCGGTCATCGTTGTACTGGTTGATGTACAAAATGATGTTTGAGACATCGGAAAAGATGAAAATAACTTAGCGCAAGGTCCCGGCAGTATTGAGGGGGGTCCAAAACTTCCCAGCCAAAGGAGTTCAATATAGCTCGGGACTTAGCTGTGCAGATAAACATTGTCATGGAGTAGCAAAAATTTCTATGCTAGTAGGAAGCTACATAAAATTCACAAATCTGCCGGTGAATGTATGCATTAGACAGATGTTTTTGAAGACTGAAAATGCATCACTGTCCGTACCTCTTACGTGTATACCGTACTCAAGTTAGTATAGAAGTGTTTCCATATTTTTGTTCAACCCTGTGTGTTAAAATGAAACGAACTTTTAAAAGGAATCGCGTTTTCTTTTCGAAATAAATTGGTTTGCATACCTATATTTGAAGAGCAGTATAATCATAAACTACATTTTCAAATTTCTCAGAAAGCCGTTTTTTTGTGTTTTTATTTTGTTAAAAACATCACAATTACTATGTAGGCAAGATAATGATTTTGATGCTCTGTGGCTTGTGCAAGCTTGTGAAATATTTTTTTTATAATCAGTGTTAACGAAGAGTTTAATGTAAAAATTTTCCCATTGGAAGAAATAAGGCTTACCACACTATGCTGCCCATTTGATTTATTTAAATTTGCAGAATGATCTGTAGAACGTCAGATAATTGTACAATGATTTGTAAAACGTCTGATTTTATTCAGGATGAGATAAAAATTAAAATCTTTTAAAATGAATAAATAATTCAAAATTCAAACGAAACATTCTTTATAGACGAGATTTGACCAAGTAAAACAGCTGTTAACCAGCGATTAATACTATATATCAGGGCTCGAAAAAACTCAGAAATTTTTCCCGTCCCCGAGGACGGCTTGTCCAACAATGTACCCGTCCTCCTTTGAAACTAACCCGTACCTTCTAAATAAATAAAGATATAATTTTCTCTTTTTTATTACTAACACTTATATAAATTGCATAATGAATTAGTAGTTACTAGGATTACATTATACAGTAATAAAAGAAATACTAGGTTACAAATAGCAAAACCTAGTATTTCTTTTATGAAATAATTTATTTCTTTTATGAAATAATTTAAATGACGAAGGTCAAGTTATCTGGAATGTCAATTTATTCGAGGGTACAGCGTTTTTTAAATGAATCAAATATGACGTTTTCCAGTTCCACAATCAAGCCAAAGATTTACAGAGGCTTCTGCACAGAAATCTGAAAGGGGTTTTCCATTTAGGTAGATGTTCATGATTGCGTTTAACTCTTCTTGTTTAAGACCAGTACGTAATGTGTTTTTTTGTAAGTTCATTGCTGAAAAGCCTCTTTCAACCGCTGCAGTGCTCCCAGACAGAGAAAACATTAACTCCACATATGCATTTTAAATATTGACTTACATGTTTATTTTAAGGGTCGGTGACATCGTGTTCGTAGCTCTCGTTATTCGTATTGCTAAATTGCTAAATAATATTTTTTTAAAGAAAAAAATTCTGTAATTTTACATTATTATTTCTCTTATTACGATGACAACCTAATGTATTTAAACTTTTGAATGTGAATAAATTATAAATTGTACAATAAATATCGGAAAAACGTAATAAAATATATTAAATTTGGTAAGGTTTTGAAACGTTTTATATTTAAAAGCATGTTGTGGTGTGCTCTAAATTCTCGCAATTGAAACATCCTGTGCTTGAACTTCTTTCTCAATATAGTGGATTTCAATTGAAAAAATTATTTTGTTATTGTTTTCTACTGTTTTTAAACGCTCTTAAAGATATTATTATTGTTTTAAATTCACTATAGTGACGTTTTACATGCTCTTTCACCATTTCTTCCAATTATGATTCATTTGTTATAAATTGTTGACGATAAATTTTTATCTGCATTTGTTGTATGCGATTTATGGTTATGAGGTATGCATTTTTTTATTTGTATATATGTTTCACTTTTGGAGAAAAAAAAATTTTAAGCATTAAGGAATCTTTACATATTTCGTTCTTTGCTTTTGAAAATTTGCCAAGCGCGAACCAAAAAAAAAACAATAAATGTTTATTTACTTTTATTCATATCGATTCACTAGCACTCATAGTGTTTTAGTTAATAGAGTACAAATAAATAACAGTAGTTTCTTATTTCATTAGTTTTTTATGTATCCAGTTACTTACATTTTAATTCAAAAACGTAGTTTAGAAGATTACATTATTTACTTTGTAAAATATTTTTGAGAATATTTTAAAATTTGATTAAAAACCCATAAATACTTTTTACTAGTGTGCCTTAAATGGAAGAGTGGTGACAACAAAGTGAATATTCCAGGAAAAAGCATGGAAGTCGCCCAAGCTCCCTGTTCAACATCAGTCTTTTAACTCAGACACTTTTAGTTTCTACTTAAAGCATTAGAAGACATGAACTATTTCATTTTATTTTATCGTTTGATAATTATGTTATAATTAATATTATTAAATTTCGGTCATTAAATTATTTTGATACTTACATTTAAGAAACATTTTCTTTAAATTATTGCGATTCTAAATTTAAGAAAGTTTTACTGCAAGATTATATTACATTTAAGCATAGCTTCCCATACAGTTTTGACTATTATTTTTCATAAATATTAACCGTAAAATAGTCTGATTTAAGATTAATTGTAAGCTATTTTGGTAACTGGATTTAAAGAATAATTTTCCGGAAATAGTTTTGAGTGTGATATTAATTTGACGTCAATTATTTAATTAAAATGTTTTCAGAAGTAACTATAGAAATTATATTCATTTATTTTTTGTTTTAAAAGAAAGCATTATAAGAAATGCATATTGTGCCTTACATGTTAATGAATGAAGTTCTAAAACTATGCTAGATAGTACTAACACTGTGTTATATGATTTGCGTACTAGTCAATTCTGTGTGAGTGAGCTTATTATGTTTGAAATACTTATCCATTGTATATTTATCATCTGTGATCAGTTATCCACATTTCTTGTATTTATTTTGTAAGCTTTGTAATTCAAATCAATAATGTATGAAATCTGTTCCTTTAGTTCACGTTCTAGTAATAAAATATTTATTGTAAATTGCATACGTTTCTTTTTTTCATCGTTAATCCAGTACAATTATTGTAGATCGAATAATTATTGTGTTAAATTTAAATATTAAAAATTTAACATTTTGTCTTAATACTGATGTACATGTGAAATCTTTATTATTTAAAATAGATTCTGATCTTTTGAAAAAGAAATAAATTGAATCAAGAATTTAGTTTTCCATCAACATTTTTATTAACTTAGCATGAACTTGCTCTCTAAATATCTTTTTAAGAATTTTTTTAGGCTCTGTTTAGCTCTTTTTTAGGCGACCACCCTCTGTTCCCCAGTAAAATGGTCGTATATGGAAGTAGGTCGTTCTTAGGGGTTACGTCCACTGATTGCACAATCTTATTGAAGGTACGCGATTTTTCACAAGAAATTTTAATTTTACTCAGTGTCATTTTCTTGGTTCCACATCTGTTGAAGTCGTGAATAGACTGATCGATGAAGTATAATTTAGCTTCAATAAAAATGATGCCAGCTGAAATTGTTATGTGTACAAAAGAATTTACCAATTATGAATGATAAAAGCCGTAATTTCACCGGGAATAGAGCGTTTTTCTTCCAGTGAGATGAACTGGGATCGAATTCCAGCGATGACTAGTTTATACGAATCCCGCACCCGGTTCGCATCGACCAGAGTACTGACGAAAAAATATCCTCAGTGGCAGACATATCATGGGCTAGAGTCCTCTGGCCTTCGGGCTAACTATGGGAGATTTTCGTGATTTTCCTATTATTGTAACGCAGGTGCGCGTTAGTTCATTCAAACGCTCCCCACGAAAGCACATTTCTCCCAACACTTGATCTAGGAATTCCCCTGTCTTCTGGATTGGATTCAAAATTACAAGGCTACGGAGTAGCCTTGTAATCGTAAACCCAAAATTGGGTGGGCCGTTCAACGATGGTTATAAAATAAAATTATGAATGATAGAATTATTTTAAATAAATAAACTATTATAATTTCTGTTTAAGTTTGCATTGAATTTTATATCATGAAATTTAGTTAGCTTTAAAAAATAAGAAGAAGCTTGTTTGTTTGAGATGCTTAGTTTTTTTCTAAAGAGAGTTTGAGATGCTTAGTTTTTCTTAAGTTAACTTTCAACTCTAAAAAGCCTCGCTTAGTTAACTTGCACTCTAAAGAACTCTAAATATCATTGATACCATCGTCGTCTTTTGTGCACTCTGACTGAAACATGGTGATTGTATATCTCTTTCAGAGAAAGCTCTCAAAGAGATTAAAAACAGAGAAGCAAAAAAGATCTTTTCAAATTAAAGCCTCACACAAATATTTTGAATTCATTTTAATATACTTGCTTGTTTAGTTAATATTTTTTGCTTCGATAATATTTGACCTTTTCCTCATTAGTACTTTCATAAAAGGTTTTCCTCGACACAAAGTCAGTAGAAAAAATTCCGTAACTCCCAAAAGTGGTCATAAATAGAGGAGTTTGCTACATAGAGGTGGTCATGGGTGAAAGCGAGACGGAAAAGAGGAAAAGCTGACCCATTTCATTCTTAACATGTTTTCGGGAGGAGTTAAACTATTCTCTTTTTCAATTATTCAGCTATATCTACTTTTCTGTAAAGAAAGAAGCTGCATTTTATAAATGCTAAAATTGTAAAAAAAATTGCAGTATTTACAGAAATTTAATGTTTCTTGAAAAAAATGCTACAATGAAGTGCCTTTCGTGCCAGTTTTTGCTCTTTTCCGTCTCGCTATATATAGGCTTTCAGCCCTGGAGGTGGTCTTTCCAAAAATCAAATTGTTCTATTTAATGAAATTATTCCCATAGTCAAAAGTGCAAAATACCTTGGTCTGGTCATTAACAGCAAATTTAATTGGAAAGATCACATCAAAACAGTTATCAGCAAAGCACAAGCAGCCTGCCACAGATTACAAATCCTCCTTCAGAACCCCAAAATAGAACTTAGACTTAAACGTTTGCTCTACATCTCAATGATCCGTCCCATCCTGACTTATGCATCTCCAGCTTGGTGCAACATCTCCACATCACTCCTTAAAAAACTCAAAACATGCCAGAACAAAATCCTCAGGAAAATAACAAAAGCAAGATGGTTTATCAGAAATAAAAACACACATCGCGACCTAAACATAGATTCTTTAGATCATCTTATTGCGAAGCTAAATATCAGATTTTTTGAAAAAACCATAAACTGTGACACCGCAGAATTCAACGAAATTTTTACTTTTGAAAACTTAAGAGAAGACGTAAACCTCAGGCAATTGGCAGCTTACTTCTGCAGTGACGTAATTTTATCTAAAATTCACAATATTTTAATTCCTTTTACTTCAATTGCAATCCAATTACCAGAAAGGACCACCCTAAAGATCACAATTCAAGGCGAATGGGAAAAAGGCCGCTAACGGCCCCAGGCGCCCAGATAAATATTGATGATGATGAGGTGGTCTTTCCAACAAATTTCACTGTAGTTGAGAAATAAAATACAATATCTGGTATTTAAAATATATAATATCATCCATCCAATTATTTCACAAATGAGAGCTCATTTAGGGAAAACGTTCTATAAGTAACGTTCAAGAAACCTCCAAAATTTCGTTTTTTTTTTTTTAAAAAAAAAACGCTTAATATCTCTGACTGAAAGGGCCAAACTTTGTCAAATGACCTTCAATCTGCACCTATAGTTGGAATGAAAACCATCTCTTAACCACAGTGATATCTTATCACTGAAAGCGCGTCTGAACCCGTTCATTTCACAAATCAGAATTCAACAGGAGGAAACTGCATGTAAATAACGTTTCACTAACTCCCAAAATTACATTTTGTTAAATGTTTAATATCCCAACCTGAAAAGGCCAAGTACCAAGACCTG